AGTATACCGTATGGTCGCTTTTTGTAGATCGCCTCCCACTTACAAATAATCTTTAAAAAGGCCCAGTCAAATTCCTGCTGGCCACCATTTTATGGGCCGAGTAGATCAACAGATCTGGAAAAGTATTCTCTAATCCGACGTATATTAAACCTTTCTTTGAGAATACTCTTTTCTTATTGGATTGGAAATGTACAATTTAGGCATTTTTTATCATTTGGGTAAGACAAAAACAATAACAAAAGCACGCGATACCACTGATAACTACTGATCATTTAATAAAAAGCACAATGCAGATTATCAATTTGGATAAATCTAATGGATTTATTCAAATATAAACTTGACAAAAAATAAATGATTTTAACATTGTTGCATCATGATTCATGATGTAAGTTTATACACTGTCAGTAAATTTTTTTTTAATGGAAAATTTGCGAATGATTTAGATTTGGACATTGTCAAGTATTACTTGTCGAAAAACAAAAGTTAGGCATCATACTTTAATTGGAAAACAATTTGGAATTAATTTTCACAAAAGTTACTCAACTGCAGTTACTATGGCAACAATGACGATACAATTTGGCGGCTAATTTGATTTAATTCAAAATAATTAATCATTAACTCGTAAACGACATCTGTGACCCCCCAATTTTATTTCATTATTTCAATCATTTATATCAAATGATTTTTCTTATTATTACTTTGATACATATATTACTTTGACAATTTTTAAAAAATTCTGCTGACTGGAGCCAATTTTTCAAATTAAGTGATAGTTGTGATTATTCATAAAAAACTTATTAATAGAAAGCTTTGAGCGCTCGATCGTCACATGTGTGAAAAGACTGGGACTAGCCTTCAAGTTTGGTTTTAAATTCCCGGTTGAATTTATATTCATTTCACTACATCAGGGCATAATATCACTGACACCACATAATCACTGATTGGTTAACACGTTGACCTAGAGGGTAATCGTTAAAAATTGGAAGTTGGAACACACTGCAGCTGCACATACGGAACAACTTGGCCAATAAAAATTGGCACATAATGGATTATAGAAATTTAAACCAGGAAAGTCATGGAAGAAAGTGACGGTCAACAAATTTTTAACTTATTTTTCATCATAAAAAAAATATTAACAACTGTATGGTAAATTGTGAAAAAATTGTGAATGATTGGCAAGTTTCATAATAGCCCCTGGCGCTATAAAAATTTCACATACAAGTCACTATCAATAATATAAAAGGTTTACATGAAGTAGTGTGTCATCATAGGCATGTAAAGGGGGATGCGATATGAGTTGCGATATGAGTCGCGATGCACTACCACATGTAAACCTTTCATATATATGTAGTAACTCATATGTGAAATCTTTTTATATAGCGCCTGAGGACAAGGTACTGGTGCAGTATGTAAATTAAGGTTTGGCGTTAAAAAAAATACCTGTGGTTCCGGTTTCATTTAAGTGAAAAAAATTAGGGTCGGTAGGTCGGAAATAAATTTTTTTTTTAAATATTTTTTCATGGTTTTGGCGTTTTTTTTGCTGGGCGATTTGCAGTACTGAGTTCCGACATCAATATTAACTAGAGATGCGTATTCATTATGGACGAATTTAGGCAATTTGGTTCAATAATTAGTGTGACAACAGATGCCATTTTGGCACGCTGTATGAGCATCCCACAACCACCTGGAGAAAATAGGGTCGCACGGTCAATCGCATGGAAAAAATAATAGGGTCGGCAGAAAAAAATAGGGTCGGTCGGGAACCGGAACCACAGGTATTTTTTTTTACGCCTTAATTTGAAAGATATTTCCATGATTGGATATATTTCGCTTTTATTTACCAAATATTTTAGACTGATTTCAGGCCATGGATTAGTGTTAAAAAATGTTGACCTAGCTAGAGTCTCAGTCATGGAAAAGTCATGGAATTTTTAATTATATATAAGGTGTCAAACAATCTAATTGCAAATATTGTAATCACAATGGGTACCATCCCTACACTGCTGTACAGTATGAACTAGTGTACTTACAATGTCATTGATGGACTTTTTATCATAGGCAACTTGAGTCAAAGTTCCAGGTGTCTTGCTTTTTGGATGCACACCAGAAACATCAAATCTATAAACAGTAAAATATAGTGATTAGTGATTACAGATATTACCGTACTGTAAGACAGTACAACTAAATTAGTTATATTGAATTTATGCGGGCTAAATTTCATACCTTAACACTGCCGGTATTTTTATATTATTTTAGACTTGTCATTTGATTACATGATTGTATAATGTTTGATGGTGAAACTTCTAAGCAATTTATACATACTATAGCAATTAACATAAATTACATACAACTCCCCCCTAGGGGGGTAATATGTTGTTCCAACTTTCAGTTACCGTACATGTGTGGCATGGTTAGAATATTATCAATATGCATTATATAGTCTGCATTTGCTTATTGCAATTGCTAAGTGCTGAGGTAATATATTACAAAAGCTGCGAAGCGGCCAGAGTTGAACTGCTGTAAATTATGCCTCAGTCCGGTATAATAATAATAATAATCTTTTATTTAATTAATGATACCCGACAGATTTTTTCATGAAGTCTGTTTTAAACTTTGGGATTTTCAAACAATTTGTTTTTCTAAAGTTATACACTTGTTCTCTCTTTGTGAATATATGTTGGAACGTTATAGGTGATAAATTGTGGTAATAATTGAAGACTAGTTTTAACAACTTTAAATTATAAAATAATTTAAGTAGTCTCCAGTTTGAGTTTGAACTTCTTTCAAAGGTTTAGATGAGATTACGCCTTTGTTATTACTTCCTACTAATTAGTCTCATTTTGTGTTTATATGGGAACTGACCTGGCCTGCCTAAGCAAGATCTTGCCTCGACTGATCCGATATCTTGCAAATTTCCAATATAAACACAATGACTAAGGACTGGATCAGACTGTGGCTTACCGTGAAAGTTGCTCAAGAATGTGCGAACTTCAGGTTTGTGAGAAAATATCTTAATATTATACTATTTGGTGAGCCAGACAGCCTCAAAGTCAAATGTAAACACAGAGTAAAATTGGTCTCTGCCTGGTAGAAATAATAGACATAGAATGCGTGCTAATGACGAATCATGTCTCCACTTTTTCAGGTGCGTGCCCTTTTGAATGCGCCATTTTGAATTTTGGCCAGGAGTGCAAACTACAGTACAAAGTATAAACAAAGCTAAATCTACGTTTTCACCATCAAAACGTTTTGTCTTGTTGCCTAATTTGTAGTTTGGGGATAGATTTTGAGTTCCTTGAAGGCACAAACTGTCAAAGCAAATGTGCAGTTACAAAACACTATGAAAACAGTGAAAATCGTGCAGCCTTTTAAAAGCAAAGTAGTTTCGCGAAAATATAATTTACTCAAAACATTTTTGCATGCTCTAAACGTAACTGTTTTGCTAATATCTTATAAGATTACAAAATGATAGTTCTATTGATAGTGTCTATTATTTCTATGGTCTCTGCAAAGTGAACTAGCTCATGGGTATACCGGGGCTAGCTGGCTCCCCTCCACATAAACATCCCCTAAGTCCCGATAATGTTGTCTCAGTGAACAGGGAGGCTCATTAGCATGTATACAATAACATACTAATTCTTAATATAAAAATAAGTTAAATAACTTTTTTCTGTGTTGGTGTAATGTACTCAGGTGAATATGATGCTTGTGATGTTACTCTGAGTGTATATCCACACCGGCCAAGCTTGAAAAATATGCCTGGCCATGGTGAGAATCGAACCAACAACCTTTGGAATACTAGCCCTGAATGCTCTTGCCAACTGAGCTACGCGGTCAGGTCGGTTCGAATATGTGATATTTCGGAACAGAATCTAGTTCCTTCGATATCAATGTAATCTAGTAATCATAATTTTTACTACAGAATCAATCCAGCCATGCTGAACAGCCGGATTTGCTGGCAGGAAATTTTCGATTACACCAGATTATGTTCTCCTATAGTAAATGATTCAACATTTCAACAATGCATATCACAATGACGATTGACGAAGCTCTCTTTGGAGCTTTTTAAACTTTTGCCTGCCAGAAAACGTAAACATTAAGGCAATTAGGGGGTTAGTAACTACAGTACCGGTACAGGTATTCAACTGTCCCGATAATTCAATAAATTCGAATACAATACAATCGATGTTGATAAAACTTGAAGTTCACAATAAATCCGTCCTTTCAGCGGAACATTTGCCCAAAATATTTTAACTTAGCCGACAATATGACTTCTTGACCAGTCGATAAACAAACAATAAAATTATAACATGATAATACGACTAGTTAACATATTTATGTATTAAGTTAAACAATTGCTTCTTACCGGGCGCTTTGAACGCCGAAAGGCGCTCCACGAAAGCCTTTTAAGGACATTTGGTTAGTTCTTCTACTTCGCGGTAATACACGCCATTTTGAAGAAGTTATGAACAAAAATCTAAACAAAATTTTGCTCCTTCGCTTCGACCATGTTGCCTGCCTGATGGAATGAAAATACTTTGTCTCTATGGCAACAAATGAGAGGACGCTGTAGCCATAAGTGACCCAATCAGAATTGACAGTTATCCCCACTGTTGTGGGATGTTCCGAATAAAACCGGCTACAGACGAGAACATTTTCGATCACTAGTTTTTATCTGGCACATTTTATTTGTCAATTGCACGCGTGTACGTACAACAAGGTTTCTAAGACAAGTTTTTGGTTTTCTAACCGCCGCTATTAGCTATATTACAACAATAGATCGCTGGCTGACCAACCGCATCAAATTACTTTGCCAAATTTTCTTTGTTGCCCGGCTTTATTAATACAGACGAACAAAATTTGTACTTTGACCTTTGTCATTTGTCTTCAAGTTCACTTGTACAAATGCTAGGACACTACTGTATCTTTTGAACAAGTGTATTTGTCATGGTAAAAATTGGCAAAGTTATCCAGACGAGCCAATAAAACTTGTAACCGGTTTAAAAAAAGGAGAAAACTAGGAATTCAATTTATTTAACTTAATTCAGGGTTAGGATTAGGGTTAACCATAGGCTTAGGGTTAAACCTAGGATTGGGGTTAGAGATTTAACTTGGGGTTCTCCCCGTAGACAATGTTGAGGAAAAAATTGAGCTCAGCTTCTGCGTCATTGCAAGGCCTTGGGAAGTAAATCAATATTGGGGGGGGG